CATGTTTATCTGAAGAGAGTGGTTTATCTTAAAGGAATGATGCACATTCAGAGGAGTTGAAGACGTATACCAAGAGGAAGAAAATGGTGCAACTCGAAGTTCTAAGCGACCATACTTCGAATACTAACCTGGAATCAAAAACTATTCTTGACCTAGGTAAGTCTTTCACCCTCTTAGAGAATCCTAATTTGGAATCAGAAACTGTTCTTGACCTAGGTAACTCTTTCACCCTCTCAGAGAATCCTAATTTGGACTTGCCTATTGCTATTTGCAAGGGTACACATTCTTACACTCAGCATCCAATAGGAAATTTCATATCCTACAATTTTGTATTTCCCTCTCATCGTGCCATCATATTTGTTCTATCTTCTGTTAGAATAACTTTTAGTGTTACAAAAGCAGTTTCATGACCTCAATGGAAAGCTGCTACGGGTGACGAGATGTGAGCGTTTGAGCAAAATAATACATGCCAAATAACTAACCTTCTTGAAGGGAAGAAGGTCGTAGGATGTCGATGGATATTTATAGTAAAATACAAAGCTTATGGTACCATTGAGAGGCACAAGCGAGATTGGTTGTAAAAGGTTTCACCCACGACTCTTGGTATAAACTACCAAGACACCTTCGTGCCTGTGGCCAAGTTGAAGACTATGAGGATCATTCTTTCACTAGCTGTGAATAAATTGTGGTCACTCCATCTGCTAGATGTTAAGAATGCATTCTTACATGGAGACATCCAAGAAGAAATCTATATGGCCATGCCTCTTGGTTTTCATATTAAGGGGGCTATAGGAAAGGTTTGGAATTTAAAGAAGGCCATATATGTTTTAGTCTCCTAGAGCATGGTTTAAAAATTCAGTGAGACCCTATTGAAATTTGGGTTCAAAAGGAGTCAAGTTGATCATTCACTCTTTTTGAAGAAGGATACTGCTGGAATTACTACCCTTCTTGTGTATGTTGATGATATTCTTGTGACAGCGGATAATGTGAAAGGCATAGAGGATTTTAAATCTTATTTAAGCAAGGAGTTTGATATCAAAGATTTAGGATCCCTTAGGTATTTTTTGGGAATTGAAGTGGCGAGATCAAAGAAAGTGATATCTCCCAAAGAACATATGTGTTGGACTTGTTACACCAAATTGGGGATGTTGGGATCTAGACTTGCAGATACTCTTATAGAAGTTAATCATAAACTTCATAGAGAAAGAGGGAGCTACTCAAAAATCCTAATAGGTATCAACGAATAGTGGGCAAGCTTATATATATCTCACAATCACTCAACCAAAGATTTCTTTTGCGGTTAGCGTAGTCAGACAATTTATGCATGCACCGCATAAACCCCACCGCCATGCTGTGTGCAAAATATTAAGATATCTCAAGTCTTCACCTGGGAAAGGGATATATTTCTCAAATCAAAGACATCCTGATGTTGCAGTTTACATGGATGCTAATTGGGCTAGTTGCCAAACTGGTAGAAGATCCACAACTGGCTATTGTACGTTTGTTTTGGGAAACCTGGTTACTTGGAAAAGCAAGAAACAACATGTGGTGGCAAGATCAAGTGCTGAAACAAAATACAGAGCAATGACGCATGATACATGCGAAGTGATGGGGATCAAAATTGTTCTTTTTTATTTGGGTTTTAAAGTTAAGCTTCCCATGACTGTGTATTATGACAATTAAGCAGCCATTGATATCAGAAAAAATCATGTTTTTCATGAAAGGACTAACACATTGAAGTAGATTGTCGCTTTATCAGAGAGAAGGTTGCTGCCAAGATCATTCAAACTCCTCATGTGAGTTCTAAAAATCAACTTGCACTTGTCTTTACCAAAGCCATTGGACGGGACAGATTACATGATATCTCAAGCAAGCTGAGCATGATTGATATCTATGCACTAGTTTGAGGGGGAGTATTGGAAATAAAAGGAATAAGCTTTATTGTATTTGATAGACAAAACTGTCATTTATTTTTTATTTAGTTCTTATTTGTCTTATGTCCCTAAATAAGGGCAATATTGTCAATATGTTGTAATTAGGGTTAGCACTTAATGTTATAAGAGGGGTAGAGATCATATATCACCACTATGCCACTCTCTCTCCCTCTCTATCTCTCTATCTCTCACACGTCTCTCTCTCCCTTCTTCTTCATCATCATCATCTTTATTTTCTTTCCTCTCATTCTCTCTCTAGGACATATCAAACTATTGTTTTCTTTATTTTAATTTCAACTTTGTTTAGAGGCTTCTCTGTCCCATTTACAATTGGGTTTGTTTTGAGGGTTTAAAGCCCCATCTTGAGAGAGAGAGAGAGAGAGGGCCTTTATTAATATCCATCTCTCTCTCTGAGTAAATCCTAACTGATTTGCAAAATATTTCTAGCAATTCTTAGTGATATTCCAGCCATCCAATCTACTTTTCCCGGACTGTACCATTGTGCCATTGAATTTAGAGATCACGGGAGTAATCTGCAAATTTCAATTACACAATGGCAGCGCTCACTAATTCATCAATATTTCACAAAGAATAAATTGTTTTAAGCCAATATTTTGTGCACATAAAAAATATGTGGTGTTCTTTTGGCGTTCAGAATTCCTCTGAAATTTGATGCACTATAGTCGAGAACTTGCTTGCTCAAGTTCCCTGAATTTTGCTACCTGCAAAAAAGCAACATGGAAATTAACTCTGAGTTTTAGAGTGTGCAACTGGTACTGTCTGCCTTTGGACAGCCTGGAATCCGTCTAGGATCTCTAACCCACAAAAAGGAAGGTTCAAGGGAGAGCTGATCTGTACTTAAGGTCAATACCTCCTTGCTCCTCTCAAGAGGCATACTGCCTCACCTTATGCAAGTGACACCTGGACAAGATAACCTGCATTTGTGATACTAACAATATTGACTCTATTTACCAATGGATAACCAGTTCTGGACTAGCCACTTTAACAGAGATGCTTATTTCTTTTGTGAACCAAGAGCTGGAGGAACTCAAGTACTGTGTTGGGAGTCAAAACTACTTTTGGTTTCACCAATAGGATTCTTTAGAGGTGGGAGTAGACATATGTGCAAAACTGCACTTATCTGTGCGTCCAAACTATAGGTTGACTCTTTTATCTTGGAGGTGGAGGATGAGAGTCTCTACCAGACAAGGTATGACCAGTTAGAAGTGGAAAACCTTAAGCAAAACTATAAACATGTTTGCACCTATTCACGCAAACTCTGATCACTATGAAACCCGTTTATTTATGAAATAGCTCTTATCTGCTCTTCCGAACTAACTGCTCTGGGAGGAAGCTCCAACACAACATGGTGTAACCCTCCTATTTACAAAAATAGCACTTATATGCTCTTCAAAACAGGCTGACCTCTCTGGTGGGTATAGGGGCATATTGAGCACTCCTCTAGGCCATAATGTTTTGGTCATAACTTCGATTTGGACATATGAGGATACAGTTGGAAGCTATCGTGGAGTTGTACAACTTTATCATTATTTAATGTCGATTTATCCTATAAGAAAAGTAGAAGACCTCTAATATCCTCTAATGGTGTTCAGAGTAAGATGGGAACCTAAGCAATACAATAGCAGGTATCTATCTCAGTTATTTTTGCTTAGATTGTGTTTTTGATTGTTTCAAAGTCTTTGGAAATGGGTTTTTTCTGTTTTGGAAAAGGATGAAAATTCTATAATTTTCCAAACATTTTTTTGAACTACTTATTTACTCTATTAATGTTGTAAATGTCTGATTGGTTTGTAGTGATTGGAGGATATTATCTAGGTGGAGGATGGTTATTAGTTTTTCAGTTTTGGTGGAAGGTTGCATACGTGTTTTTCTTGTTGAATTCCATCATTAATTTGTGATTTGTGGTTAATTTTTCATTATAGTGGCTCAAGTAAATTGCAAAAAGGCTTTTATTATAAGGTTTTGTTCTTTTGGGAAAAATGACGACTTGTTTATACGGCTTTGGTCCTTGCGGAAAAGAAAATAAAGTTTGTGATATTTTTTCTTTTTAATTTCTTATTTATTCTGTTCATGTTGTAAATTTGTAATGAACTTGTGGTAATGTGATGTTTATTGTCACATTTTTCTATTTTTTCCTTTATTTTATTTTATTGGTAATATATGAAGGTTTAATTATTTTTAATATTTGCGGAAATTGGCCTGGTCTGACCAGACCTTTTTTCCACTGGTTTAACGGCCAATGAGGTCTTAATACCACTGATAATGAATGAAAACTGTGTTGTGTGCTCTTTAGACTGTAGGTACTCCATGTAAGGATGGAGGTCAGCTGCGCTTTCTTGCAGATTCTTTTTGTTTATTGTTTAAGTTTATGTATCTGTTATTGGAAAATTAGCTTTCCTACTTATAATAGCCGAGAACCTACATAGCCCTTGGCATGTTCCTGTAACATGACTTTGTGATGTCAAAAATGGATCGGGCTGGGGACAGATCTCAATTGGGCTCAGTTAAGTAGTCTGAATCCAAGTAAGAGTAAACAAAATGTACATTTGCTTTTGCTCCCTCATTCAAAAGCCTAGCTTGAGTATTTTTCAGGATCTGAAACTTTGGGGATTTGATGTACTAATACTTATGACCAAATAAAAAAAGAAAATTCATTACACACCCTGGAGCTGCATTTAAGAAGTCAACCCCTGGTATTGCACACCGATTGTCCAATTTTGGAAAGGTTAGGTCTGTTTTAAGGTATTCCAAAGTCCTTTTTTATTTTTGAAAATATTCATCTCGTTACTCTAAAAGTGGATGCCTAATTGTGCGATCAAGAATATCTTCCTAAGTAGGTCATTTGCTTGAGGGAGTAAATGCAAATTTTACTCCCAAGGGAGCACAAAATACACTCTTAGTTATATATGCGCAGTGGATCAGTGTGTTAGCATTTATAACTTGAAAAGACTATTCAGTAATATGATATGATCTATTAGTGAATATTTTGATAGATTATATAATCCATGTCGACATTTGCTATTGACACAACTTTTTATATTGCAGACAGAAGCTGCAGCTAAAAGGGCTCTAGATCTCGATGGTGCTGATATGTAAGTAAATAAAATTAAGCTTTTCTTTTCTTTTTGATTGATTAAATTAAATTATGCTTGTCCATTATCAAGAAATCATTATCGCCTCTTTACGGTGTGTAGTGGAAATGGATATGCAAGGCATTTTATGACAGGCATAGTTGAAATCAAAATTAGACTTTTTTCTTCAGCCCTGTGCAGTAGCCAACATTCAATATCTGAAATCATGATATTTAACTTGGCAATCACTATTTTATTCTGAGTCTCTATACTTCTGCTAGTCGTTTGAATCCTTGGATATACATTCCAATATTCGCCTGTAGCCATTCCTGGAGAAAATTGAGTCCAAACTTGGAAAGGCATTTGGAGGAAGCTTAAATTTATATTTTGCTAGAAACATATGAAATCTATCCTTATTGGGAAAGAATAATAAACTGGTATTTGTGAGTTTCAAATTATTTTCACACAATCAGACCAATTTACCACCATTTTTTTTGAATAATTACTCGAGATACATGTTAGCTGGATTCAGTGGGTTATAGTTTTGTCCGATGTCTGATGGTATTATTGAGTTGCAATTTCTTTTCCTTACAGGGGAGGACTATTTCTCAAGGTACAGCCTTATCGTGCTTCTCGAGCTGAGAAAGTGCAAGATTTTGTACCAGCAAGAGTGGATGGCTACAACAGAATATATGCTGGAAATTTGTCGTGGGACATAACAGAGCAGGATCTAAGAGCCCTCTTCTCTGACTGCAAAATATGGGAGCTTCGATTTGGTATGGACAAAGAGAGTGGCGAGTTTCGTGGCTATGCCCATGTTGATTTTGAGGACAATGTCTCTTTAGAAGTAGCCTTGACTTTAGATCAAACTGTCGTGTGCGGTCGACCCATTAAGATAAGATGTGCAGTGCCAAAGAAAGGAGGGTCTTCAAACCCAGAGAAAAGAAGTGAGAAGAAAGAAAGTGAGCCAAGCTTACGGAAAGCCAGTAAGAAGAGGCGCACATGTTATGAGTGTGGGACTGCAGGTCATCTCTCATCTTCTTGTCCTAAGAAGATGGTTGTTGAGTCTAATATCTCCGTGTGATTTATGGATATGAAGCTTTGGTGCAGCTCTATGAGGTAGATTTGCTATTTTTTTTTTCCTTTTTGTTTTCTTTTTTAACTTTTTCAGAAATTTTGCTGTATTGTTTGTCCATTCTTTTTCTTTCCTTTTATTAAGCAGTTGGTGCTGATGTATGAGTTGCAGAGATGAGAGAAAAACTATAAAAGAAATGAAATGAAAATTGTAGGAAGACATGGAGGTGAAGATTTTGGGAATTGGGAATTGGGAATTGGGAATTGATAGAAATAGATGTGTGTTAAAGAAGGGCCATTGAACTAATCGATCAAAAAAAAAAAAAAAATTCATCGAACTCGACTCTAATACCCGACAGGGGGAGCTGCCCACACATGGTACTTTAGTACTCTATTGCAATGGGCGGCGTCTTGGCCATGATTTTTCGTCTTTTTTAATTTTGATTCATTGCCATGTTGAGTTGCAAACTTCGTGTGCAACTGTGGACCTTTCCAGCACGAGAGAGATAGAGAGGACTAGGTAATTTGCTTATACTGGACATGTGAAGCATGTGTATAATGTCGTGAGATAGAATAATATGATATCAATTGATATCATAAAACTTGAACAATGTTAATCTTGTCATAGTTGGATCTAGCTACCTACAAGTTGACAATAGATTGTATATGGTGATTTAACTATCTCTTAACGTTTAATAGACTATTTTTGATAAATAGAGCAATTATTTCAAGGGTGTAGTTTGTATAGAGCCGAGGCTCTAAACAACCAAAGCAAAGTGCACCTTGAAATGGTATCAAGAAATGTGGTTTCAATATTGGAAATCTTTGTGATAGCTTTAAAATATAATTTATATTTAATTATGAAATTTAAAGCTTCAAAAATAGTGTAGATCGAACAAATATATGAAAATTAAAAAATCTTGAAAATTGACAGTACGAAAATGCGTTACAAGATGTACTATTTCCAAAACTTGAAATCCATTTTTTCTCATGTCATGTAGAGATGATCAATTTGAGGATATTTGGGTATCAAAACAACCTCATCTAGTGAAATGTTTGAGGTAGGCTCTAATTTGATTGTTTAGAGTGTCGGTTGTCGATAAACTTTACCTTTTCCTTATTTCAGTAAGGGTGTGGGTTTTATAAGGTTGCAACCTTAAACAATCCAATTAAGGTGAACCTCCAAATTTTATCATATCATAATTTTGGATTCAACATTCTTAGGATAAAAGCTAATTATAAAAATTTAAACTCCAGAAATGGTTAAAATCAAGTAGATCTATAGATCTATGAAAATCTTAAAAATGGACGGTCTAGATAATGTGTTGTAAGATCACTATTTCTTGGACTCAATCTTTTTTTCTTATATTTTCATACATCTCGATGTCGAGATGATTAATTAGAGAGTTTTTCAACATTAAAACAACCTTTCCGATGGATTTTTGAGATGCATATTTAATTCTATATTTTAAGGTTGTAACATTTTATAAACTTTTTCCTTTCAATAATAGTTAAATTTTAAAGTAAATATAATAATGAATGAGTAACGGATTTGTCAATATTATAAGAATGATGAGAATGTAGTTGAATTTAGAGCATGAAACAATGGTAGTAATTTAAAAAGAAAAAAGTATATATAAGGATGCAACCTTATAATGTAGAACTATGGATGCACCTCAAAAATCCATCGGAAAAGATAATTTTAATGTTGAAAAACCTTTTGATTGATCATCTTGACATCGAGATGTATGACCATGAAAAATAAAAAGATTTGAAGTCTTAGAAATAGTGCATTTTACAACATATTATCTAGACCGTTCATTTTCAAGATTTTCATGTGTTTATATATCTACTTGATTTTAACCATTTTTTAAATTTATAATTAGATATAAAAATAGATTTTAAAATAATCCTATGAACATTTTACATCAAAATTATATACCAGATAAAATTGGATGGTGCACCTTACCTTCACAGCTACGGATGCATCCGTATGCCAACTGCACCAATTTAAATATGTGTGAACGAGCAAACTTGTCTAGTGCATAGGCAAGCTGGGCGGATGCTAGCATGAGTGGGCCCAACTTATATGGGGACCTAGAAATTATTATTAAACAAAAAAAGGAAAAAGAAGAAGAAGAAACAAAAAATTTTTCAGCGAAGCCAAAAATTGTAGACTTAATGACGTCAGATTGTGCATAATTTTCCTACTAAAAACCACTACAAACTGCAAATTGGTAACAGATTCACCATTAATGGTACGTGTGGTTAAAAGCTTTTGTATTAATCAATTGGTATGGGAAGGAGTTCTAGGTGCTTAAGCTACCTCTTTCATTTACATCAAACCCATATGCAGGCCTGAACACCACTATTTTGGGTCTCAGGATGTGGTACAGACCTTAGAGAAAAAAGAAAATATAATCATAACATCAAAAGGCATCTAGCTTGGTTTTCTTTGAGATGGGTTCTAAGACAAGAGTAGGTCTAAATGTCTTCACTCCAAATGTCCTTGCTTGTTCGATTGATATAGCCTTTGAAGGCCTCAATCATACTTGTATCGTTGATCATTTGCAGTGGATTTTTGCTCTAGTGGGAGTATAGGGCCCGAAAGTGACCCAATTTTTGGATGACTCACTGGGTCTATGTAATTTACGGCTTGGGAGTGAAAAATTCTTAAAGAGTCATGGAAAACCTATGCCCACGAGATCGGGCTTATGGCCCAGCAGGTACCAATGAGGGTTTGGGATCATCCCCTGGCCGATGGGGATATCTTTGTGGTTTGGCTGAAGGGCAGTGCGGAACCTTCCAGGAGGCAAGCTTGTGAGGACAAGGGTTAATACTTCGACATCTGCCTCTATACCACATGTGTATATGACTGCTACATTTTTAGGAAGCCTCCTTCCCGGGGGAAGTCATAGGGATAGTCGTGTACATGAGCATGATAGAGTAATCTCTGCATCCATGTGTAGGTGCTTCAGTTATCCTCCGGGATACACCTGAAATTTGGTTTAGGTCTCAGAATTTTATGGGTTGTTAGGCTTTGATGAGTCAAACATGAGCTCCTGTATTAGACTATGGAATCACGAGTTCAATTGGGTTGATTTACAAAAATAGAAGCGAGTTTCAAGATAAGCCAAGTATATGATTCCAAGCCCGTAGATGCTTAATTTCTCTTTTATAATTTCTCGGACAACCAAATATTTTGAAATTGATGGAATAGGCCTATGTAGCTGTAGGCTAGTGGGCTTACGCTATATAGAGAAAGCCTTTTATAGAGTCGAGGCTCTAAACAATCAAATTAGAGCCTACCTCAAAAAATTCACTAGAAGAGGTTGTTTGGATGTCTAAATATCTTCAAATTAATCGTCTCTACATCAAGGTGCATGAACATGAGAAAAAAAAGAGATTTCAAGTTTTGAAAATAGTGATCTTATAATACATTTTTGGACTGTCAATTTTAAAGATTTTCAAGTTTTCATAGATCTGCTTGACCTACACTGTTTTTTAAGCTTTAAATTTTATAATTAGAGATGAAAATATATTGTAAGGCTATCACAAATATTTTCAATGTTGAAACCACAATTTTCGATACTATTTAAAGGTGGGCTCTACGTTGATTATTTAGAGTATACAAACCACACCCATATATATATATATATATATATGAAATAGTTTTTATAAGGATACTACCTTATAATGTAGAACTACGGATGCCCCTCAAAAATCCATTGGAAAAGGTAGTTTTAATGTTGAAAAACCCTTTGATTGATCATCTCGACATCGAGATGTATGACTATGAAAAATAAAATGATTTTAAGTCTCAGAAATAGTGCATTTTACAACATATTATCTACACCGTCCATTTTCAAGATTTATTTATGGATCTACTTGATTTTAACCATTTTGAAATTTGAAATTT